ATAAACTTTAAACTTTAGGGGCTGAATTATAAATAACTCAACCCTTACCCTAATTTTAAATTGCAAGTAGGGGCCCCCAAAACTTCAAATTTGCAGCGCAAGCCCCCGCCCCCAAAATTTCATCCAAATCGTAACTGAAGAACCTAGCGGCGCTAGGTGCACTGCTGCCGTCGCCGCCATCCTCGGCGGAGAAGAAGAAAAGACGAAGGAAGAAGAAGAACATCCATAGCAGGCTTCACATTATCGACTATTTTCACGCCATTGCCCGACAGCAAAGAAACCTTAATTTTAAAAGATCAAACTAAACCACCATAGTAATGGATAAGAATAATGCTAAGTGTACACAATTTTTTACACCCACCTCACATGAAGGGAGAGCCCACACATAATAAAATAATCGTTGACCCCCCTCCATGTGAGAGAGGTGTAAAAAATTGTGTAAAAGTGTGTGTGTACATGTAGCATTACTCAATGGATAAATGGGCAGATAAATAGGAAAAATCTCAGGTTTTCAAAACCCTTGATCAATCAAATTCTCGCCGAATTAGAGGGAAATCCTTCAAATCATATACAACTAATTTTTTTTAATTATTATCCACTCAGAATTCTAAATCCCTCAATCCATTCTCTTTCTTGATTCCCCTTGATGTGTCGGTCAGTGGAAACAAAAATCGAAACTCCAAAATCCCATAAAAAAAATTTTAAATAGTTTCACATGAAGAATCAAGTACAAAATAACTGAATTAATTTTCAAATAACCCAAAATTAATCCAACCAACCTTTGCTGTGATTGATCCTTGAAGGTATCCCACAGTTGAAGAGCCATAATTTCAAACAAATCAAGTTCGATTGCAGCTTTCAAAACCATGGGCAGATACAAACTGCTTGAAAACTTGATCCATATATTTCTGATTCTTAGCTTGAATAAGTTACGATCTTCTAATTGATTGGTGATCTTCATTTCAATTTCGCTCTCTGTTGATGGGGATGCAGAGAATCTTAAGAAGACCATAACCATATAAAATAATAGTAATTAAATAGTCACAATCTTCAATTGCTTCAAATTGACCCATCATCAATCTAAAACAATACTCCGGTCTCTACACTATAATTCTATGAAACCTAATACCCATTAGTCACAATACATTTTTAACAGATCACTTTAATTGACTAATATCCTATAAATAATAGCACCATGCAGTTTAATATATAACGTGTGGCCCTAAATATGTTGAAATTATCCAACAGGTGTTTGATATGGATTAAAATTAGATTTTTAGTAGATTTTGATAGAAGTTTTTGAAATGTGTGGTTGAAAAGTTGTGGGATCCATAAAAAATGTGTTTTATATTGATTGTTTGACTTTCATTTGGATTAAAATCAAATTTTAATTCGGACCAAACAGTGGCTTAACCTTGTGTTTGAAAATATATTTGCAGAAATACCATACAAAACACATTTTCAATGTTTTGCATAACTGAAAACAACCTGAAAATCGCAAACAAAATGCACCCTTGCTTTCTACTCTACAATTTCGATACTAATTTATATTGACAAAAAATATGTAAAATAGAGTAAGGACAAAACATATAGACAAACGGAATTGAGATTGATTATAAATAATGTGTAAAAAGTGAGTGAGTGATTAGTAATATTTAAATTTAACTTGACAAAGTCGAGTAAAGCATTTAAATTTCATTTTAGAGCCCATAGACAATTGTGCATTCGAACCTATTTTTTTCTACTCTTTTTGCAATGTAAGAAGCACTTGGAGGCCAAAGGGCTACGTGTGGGCATGTGGATGTTTATCTGTTCAAATTTAATCTCATATTTGGTGGGATTAAAATTTTAAATCAAAATTTTAACATTTTATTATGGCGCAATACGTCCTAACCTTTCATTTTAGTTCAAATCCCCATAAATTATTCAAATTTTGTGGAATACAATGTTTTCGTCATTTTTCTCCAGAAAGTCTTGTAAAATAATGAATTTATCCTCTTCTTTAAATAATAATAAAAATTTAAGAAACAAGTATAGTCAGAGCCCCAAATCTTTTCAAAATATGCAAATGAGTCTAACTAAAAAAATAAAAATAAAATAAATAAACATATTTTTTTTTTAAAAAAAGGAAAAAGTTCAAATTTCCCAATATGTGGGAGAAAAAAAAAGGAAAGATGCACTTTTTCTTTTTCTTTTTTAAGAAATATATTTTTTTTAGCTAGACTTGCACATTTCAAAAAAAGGGCTTCTGACTGCAATTGTTTCTTCTTCTTCTTTTCTTCTTTTTTTTTTTTTTTTTTTTTAATTTAAAGAGGCGCGTAAATTTTTCATTTTACAATGCTTTATAGAGAAATGATAAAAATGTTGTATTCCACGAAGTTTGGAAAATTTAGGGGGTTTTGGCCAAAATGAAGGGTTAGAGGGGTATTGCGCCATAATAAAAGGTTAAGTTGGTATTGCACAAAATAGGTAACGTTGGGGTATTGCGCCAAATACCCTTATATTATTGGTATCATTACTATTTTAATTCCTAAACTAACCGAATTGGATAGTAGGGGATCTTCCGTAAGAAAAAAGGCCATCGAGGGAGTATTCCGTCAAAATGAAAGAATGAAGGTATTCTGCAATAGAGGTAAATTTTCCAAATACCATAAATTAAGGAAAAAGTAGTAACGAACAACACATTTTTGGGGACTACACATTTCATTTGAACTAGACATTTTAATTGACTTACAAGTAATATTCACTTATTTATTTACATTTCTATCTATTTATAAAACAAATCGCTTATAAATTCTTCTCAAATGGAGGCTTGGGTAGTTTCTATCCAAAAGGAAGAAAGTGCACCTAAAATGAAAGGTTAGATTTAAGAGGAAATTACAGCCAGCCCTACCTTTAGATTTCCATTTTCATAAATCACATATCAAGTTTAACTTTTCAAAAATCAGATTTTTATATTTAATTTAATATTAATTATATTATT